GGACCTCGGAGGATTGCTGAGAAGACATCTCGGCAACCTTCTCGGCTACAAGTTCAGCGTTGATTTCTTGCAGGGTTTCATTTAGGCTCTTGTCGGTAAGAGGAATATCGGATAAAGCCTTCTCAGAAGCAACATCTTTGCGAACCTCCTCATACTCCTCATCTTGAGTCAAGTCCAAGACTTGCTCATTTTGAGGAGGAGACTTGGCCCCAGCAGCATCTTTGGACTTTCTTACCAAAACCTCATCCTCCTCAAACTCAGAGTCGTCGTCATCAGATTGAGCTGGAGTTGGTGTTGGAGGGAATGGAAGAGGAATGACGTTGGCGTTTCTCAAAGGCAAGTCCTCAGGGACATTGAGCTTTTTTAGAAGGGACATCCAACCAAGGGTGAAACCCTTGTTGCATATCTCCTTCACTTGCTTTTCGTAGGCCTCCGTGACATCGGCCATGCCCTGGGCATACGCCTTCTCGTCGGCATCCTTGATTTCAGCCTCTTTGGTAGCCAAGGCCTCCTGCAGCTCTTTTTGGGCCTAGGCCATCTTCTTCTCGGCCTCTCTTTTTTAGGACTCAGCAACCTTCCTAATGGCCTCAGTAGAATCAAACTTCTCTTCGGCATCGATCTGAGCCTTGATGGCAGCTTCGGCCTGGTCATCTAACTTCTTCATTTTCGATTGAAGGCTTTTGTTAGCTTTTTGAAGAGTAGAGAACTCCCTCTTCATCTCGGCCAACTTCTCCCTATTTTTAAACGATTGAATAGAGAAAGAATAGGCATGCTGGATGGCCTGAAAAAACACAAAACAAAAGATATTGCAAAATCTTCTAAAGTACAGGAGAGGAAAAATTACCAAGTAAAGATACTTACCTGAACAGATCGCTAGAGCATCAAAGCATAATTTTCATACTCACTCAACTCGGCGTTCCGGTCGAGATTGCCGAGAAGAAGTAAAGCAGTACTGAGGGCGACACCAACATTGATATCATTGGCGCTATCACTAGCCATAACAGGCTAGCTTCCAGAGTAATCTCGGGGGTCCAGAGGGCATCAGACTTCTTAGACCCCGAGGTCGTTGCAGAAGATGACCTCGACTTTTTTGATTATGGCGATTCGGATGGTTGGGCCTCAGAGCGCCTCTTCCTAGCAGAGGATTGAGATTTGTTACTCTCAGTCAACTTGGAGATTGACAAAGCATCCTCAGACTCAATTTGAGTAACTTTAGCCTTTGGCTGAGCCTTTTTTGTTCTTTTCGGCTTCGGTGGAGGCAGGGTTTGTGTTGATTGAGCATTAACATCAGTTGGAATGTTGGCTAGAAGATCTTTAGCAACTGGTTTTGGGCGGCCCATCTCGGTGGTAAGAACAAGTCATCGCCGACGTTTTCGTTGGGATATCGAAATCAAATACGGAGCCGAGGTCGACGGCTGATCAGCTGGATCCGAAGTCGATCCTTGGTCTGTCCGAGATGTGGACGCAGTTTGTGGAGTTATGACAGATGGTGGAGAAATGCTTTTCTTCTTCCTCCTAGGGACGACGGGCAGAGCTGACTTGTATGTTGGAATAAAATTAAGAACCAGAGGCGCCATTCGTTTATGGACTGGCATGTCCAAGAGTTTCTTCAAATCCTTGCTGGGAATAAAGGATTGGCAAAAGTTTTTTGGTGGCTTAGGAACAACTACAAGAAAAACAAACATTAAGAAATAGATAAAGTATGAAAGACTTTAAAAAACAAGTAGGTATGAATACAGGGCTCTTACCATTGCTCTCTACAAAGACTGATCAGAGGAGAGGGAAAAGATATAGGTCTTCATCTGGGGCGAACTCCCAGTTCCCTGAAGTAATGAAATAATCGTCCCCAGCTCCCTTGTTGGATTCAGGGAGGTCGGCAACGATTTTGTATTCAGTGGACCTCGGCTTGAGGTAGCAAACATAGCCAGTGTCTTTTTTAAGACCACACATAGTATAGCAATATTGGATGTCGGCTAATGTGATCCTAGCGTTTTCTTATTTGGCTAAGGCTATGATACCATTGATGGTTCGATAGGAATTGATGGAAAGTTGCATCGGATTCAACTTGTAATAATGAAGTATTTCACAGAAAAGGATGTTGAGTGGGAGCCAAAGTCCACACTCAATGAAGGCTACCACAAGGAAAGGCATGGAGTCGTCAGTAAGCATGATAGAGTCATCATCCCCAGCCAATCTCAGATGGACGTCGGCTGGGATTTCAAACTCTTGTCTAAAATTTTTTAGTTTGGATAGGGTGTCTACCCTATGTTTCCACATACCCATGATATCGGCTTAATCAAAGGGGTTGGATTTCAGAAGATGTTTCGAAAGGGTTATTGGGACCTCGGTAAAACACTTAGGTAAATACAGGTTTCAGTTTTTTCCTAAATTGTGGGTTCTACAGACAAATCCCAAACCTAAGTCTATGGAAACGAAGATTGAAGGCACGAATCTGGAAAAGACACAAAAAACAGAAACAGGAACGAGTTTCAGAATCAAGAACAGAGATGGTCTATCAAGAGCATAAAGAATACAAGAAGTATAAGGCCAAGAACAGTGGCAAAAGTACAGGAAAGTGGTGAAACAGTGTGTGTGTTCTAGATATGGGCAAGGGCAAAATTGTGGAAAAAACACATTCAGATGTATGATTCACAAGTTAAAAGTTTGAACAAATGCAGTAATGACAACAAGTAATAGAAAACATCAAGGAATTGAAAACGAAAGGAACAGTAAACTCACCGAAGAAAAGAAGCCGGTGTAAGGATCGCCAAAGTCAGACAATGGTTACAGAAGTAACAGAACGGCGGAAGCTTCACCAGAAGGAGGAATGAAGGCAGTTGCAGAGCTTGAGGTCTGGAACAATGGCGTATTCAAGAGCTAGAGAGAGAAAAAGCAATGGAATCGAATGAAAAATAAAAAAAACAAAAGAGGGAAACAAGTTTTGTCAAAAACTTGAAACGGTGGCAAAAGAGGGCAATCAATGCGCATAGGAAGACGACTTTGTCAGACGGCGCACGCAGGCGCGAGGCAGTTTTTAGGCGCGTCGCAGGTACAATCCAATATATGAAAGACACGTGTCATAAACGGTTGAATTATTGTATGACAACTCATACGCATGAAAGGGTTCTTGAAGTTCTTGTTCTTTAACGACGACATGTCAGCCAACATAATGATCTCGGCTGAGATATTGTAAACCGACGTACTGGAAGAAAGGAATGATATAGGTTCTATCACCTTAGAATGCCGAGGTAATAGAACCTAGAGGGCAGTTGTGGGGAGGGGATATATTTTCTGAGCACCAACACGTGGCTAAGGTGACGCCGACGTGTCAGCCGAGGTGCCACGTGTCCTGGTCATGACGCCGAGGTTATCTCATCAAGGCCGAGGTTACCTCCGAAGATATCGGAATCCGAGATAAGCGGATAAGGGATAAGAGTCCTAGAATGGGAGAAGACTTCAGTTTGGGTAAAGACAAGACTCTTAGAGAGTTTATCCTAATCCTACTGGAAGTCCAAGATTAGCAGTAATCCTAAGTCCATTAGAGCTAGGCTCCTATTGGGACTAGGATTGTGTTGGCTATAAAAGGGAGGCCCCCCATGGGTTTAAAGTACCCAATTTATATTCTGAATAATAAGTTTACACTATTGATTATCTGTGAGAGATATACTGACTTGATCGTCGGAGTGCCTCCAGGTGGACGAACCATTGCCGGAATCTTCTCTTTCTGTTGCAGGTTAGACATGTGTCATCTATTCTGCCAGTGCTCTCCAACTGAATATTAAGTCGACAGTGTGGTCAGATTTTCACCCACACACTAATTTTTAATTTAATATTTGATTGGAAGTAAAAAAAAATATATATGTATTAATTATGATGAGTAGAAATAATTTCAAAAACAAATTATAAATTTCAAACCACAGATTAACTAACTTAGGATTACTTTGGATAGATAGAAAAAAAAAAAAAATCTTATTTGCTTTTCTTTTTTTTTTTTGGTTGCTTTTTGGTTTTTTCATAAATTCATTTGCTTTTTGGTTTTTTGTAAATTATTATAATATAGTGTCACTTCATTTGTGAAGTGAATTTCCATATTACCCTTATGCACATATTGAAAATTACCATTTTACCCTTCTTGTTTAGTAACAAATTTTATTGTTTTTCCTACGAATATTTTAATAAATTTGTGTCATGACTTATTTGATCTTCCTAAAAGAAGAAAAAAAAAATGCACCAAATAAGTAATTTTTTACTTATTTCAAATAAAAACAAAAATTGCCTATTATGTTGTTCCCAAAATGACCCTAAACAAATAGGTGCCAATTAAACTATTTTTAACTAATTGAAACAATCCTACCGACCACAGCAAGACAAATATCTTTGTCTCCATACTCAATTTCGATGTATCCCATTTTCCTCTTTAAAAGAAAGTTTGGGAGTTCAAAAAAATAAAAAAGCAAGACAAATATCTTTGGTTTATTCGGGTTTAGGCAAAGTGGAATCTTAATTTACAATTAATTTATTAGAATCTCTCTCAAGTGTCGTTATATGTGACAGCTCTCAATTGGACATCCATACCTACCATCCAGCTAGTCTCTGCATCTACACTTTCATTCCGCCTATACAAATATCTGTATATATCAGTGGAAAATCGGTAATATTACATATATCAATTAACGTATTAATTAATGTATTAATATTAATTATGATATTATTATTGACTCTACTTATTAATTACATTATAAATTTAAATTTTTTTTTAAATTATACCACATTATCAATTTGATACACTAATTAATATATTAATTAATACATATATCATTATTCGTGAGAAATTGTTTGAGAATTCAAATTGTATAGTATATAAATTGTAATTTTTTAAATTTTTATAAATTAATTTATGTAAATCTATACAAATTTACATAATTTTATAAAATAATTTATATATATATATATATATATATATTTGTGATAAATTAGGAAGGTGGGATAGGGTGGGGTATGCTTATAAGCACACTCAACAATTGCCCATATCTCTATATATGTATCATCGCCTATCCAATCCCTCTGTCTCTGTGTGTATAATCATCTTTATTTCTTGAAGCCAAATTTACCGTAACAAATGGCAGAAGACGAACCTAAGAAGGTCGAATCAGAGACGCAATCGGAGGCTCCACCAGCTCCAGCGACGGCACCGGAATCCGCCGAAGATAAATCCGTAACTCCACCACCACCACCACCTGTTCCTGCTCCTGAAGAGAAGCTTGATGACTCCAAAGCTCTCGCCATCGTCGAAAGTAATATATACATCTCTCTCTAGTTTAATTTCGCGATCTCTTGATGAATTTTGAAAATTCTACGGGTATAATAGGGTTTATGCTCTGTTTGGTGGCTAAGAAATTAAAGTCTCTGTTTTGGAGTTTTGCTAGTGTTTATATGTTTAGCTCAACTTAATTGGATATTTTGAATAGTAATTCGATTGTGTTGAATTTTACAAGTTTAGATAAACTCAAAATTTATTATAAGGCAGGATTTATTGTTTTGTTATCATATTGTATTGAATTTTTAATCACTAATCCAGTCTAAGACATATAAAATTTTATTTGGTATCACTTTTCATTTTTTTTTATTTAATATTTTTAGTTTTCGAAAATATCATTTGTTTTCAATTTTTTGGGTCCTAAAACAGTTTTCGATGATTAAAAAAGCAACTTTAAAACGTTTTCTAAAAGATGGGGGTGTATTCATAAATTTATTTAGCAAACAGTTTCACAAAATTATTACCAAACAAAATTTCCATTCTAATTTTCATTTGATATGTTTCCAACATAAAAAAAAAAAAAAAAAAAAAATTAAAAAAAAAAATCAAAAACCAATTTTTTTAAAAGCAATACCAATATTTTGATCTAATCCCGAATCCAAAATTGTCTAGATTGCCTTTTTTTTTTTTTTCCTCACCAAATAATATTTATTAAAAAATTTGAAGTTTAACCAAATTTGTGATTTATTTATTCGAAGTTTCAGATTTTTTCTCTTAACTCCATAATCTGGGGATGAAAGACCCGTCAAGTGAAACATGCTATACCTTTTTACATAGAAACCATGATGTTTGATATGCTAATTGTGTTTATTTACAACTCTTAAAGCACAAAAATACACTGTGATGCATTCACAGAGCTAATACCAAGGACGTTCTTTGTATTTTTCCTTAGTTTTTCCCGATGCGATTTGTCAATAAGATTGTCAAGTTAACTTATTCATTTGCGTTCGTTTGGTTAACTTAGTTGGGATAAAAAAGTACAAAAGACAAAAATAGGTTAAATAAGTAATAAGACAAAATGTTATATCCAAATTATAATCATTTCATTTTTTCTCTCACAAAAGTTAAAAAAGCCAAAAAAAAGTCCAACCAAAAGAACTTTTTAGTCCCAAGCTAAAAAAATCCCAACCAAAAAAGTCAATTAAAAAAGTCAATGCCAAACGGCGGCTAAGTATGACTTATAAACTGACTAGGTTAGTAAAATATTCCGTAAACTTTTTAGGCAAACAAACAGTTGTAATGCTCTGACATCAAAATGACATCGGAATTCACATTTTTAATTATTCTATTCCAAGTTGTATTAAGAAGTTCGTCTGCAATGGACAATTGTTGCCAAAGCATACCTTTTTTCCCAAAAAATTAAGAGGCTAGAAAACCACGTCGACCTGGTGAAAAATGCCATGACATTTTCTGATGGTGCCTAGCATTAGTCTTGTTTGTAACATTGATGCGGATATTTTTATAATATGATGGCTAGGACATTAAATGTTGTCTGGTCGTCACTGATGCGAGGCAACTACGGTTATCTGTCCATTGATGTGCTTAATAAGCTACAATTATGGTTCTAACTAGATTTTTTATCTGGATCGCGGAATTGCAGTTCTGGAGTGAATTCATCTCCCCAACTAAGATGTTTTGTATGGCCTAAAAACAGAAAATTGGTCAAGTCTTGGTTCATGGTACAAGATGTGCTGTTAGAGATTAGCTTGGATGGCATATTTATTGTCTCCTTAAGCTTTGAGGTGCCAAACAAGAACTTGTCATGTACTTTTATTTGTGGTTGTCCTGGTAAGGAAAATTTAGATGATGTATTTTTATATAATTAAAACATATAAAAAAAATAAAAAAAATGGGCTCAGCTCTAAGAAGCATGGACACATGACATGACATAGACATGCCGACACAGAAATTTTCAAAAATTGTAGAACACATGCAAAATTTATAATATTATATATTTATTATATGTCATTATGTCATATTTATGAATATTTAAGCTGAAGATAAATTTTTTAAAACCTAATAGAGGAGAATATGTATAAATTTAGATTGTTTTTGTTTTATCATTGGATTCTAAGTTATTTTATTCAAACTCTTAATGTGTTTTATGTGTCTTCAAGTATTGGGAAGTGTCTGACGAGTGTCGTGTCGTGTCGTGTCGGTATCCGACACAATGTTGGATACAGCACGTTAGCTTCTTAGAATTGTCCGTGCTTCTTAGGTTTAGTTTCTTTGAGACTGTCTGTTGGTCCAACACATGCTTATTAAATTAGAAAACGTAGGTAGAGATCTCAGCATCTTTCCCACTTCACATGCTGAAGTTGAAAGGAATTTATGTAGTGCCGGTTCATTGGAATAAAACAAAAGTCATTCCTTTTAACCTTCGTAACTATTTTCTTACAATGGTGAATGATAATATTCCATTTGTAATACATTTTCTATCATTTTTTTAGGGAACCAAATGTGCATGAACATTATGATGGAATTCCAATTCATTCCAGTGAAAGAGCATAGGGTTGAGTCTTGATATGTGTATGTTACTTTCATGGTGCTAGCCTCAATACTTACCTGTTCATTGATTTTCTTTATTGATGCCGATTATGGTCTGATTGAACCACCAGTCATTGCATAATACATGCTTCAACTTCAAGGTGCTGGCCTAGGCACTTAATTTAAAAGATTCCATGAATTGTTCTAAAAGTTTGTCCCATTTTTTCCCACCCAAATCATTATTTGCTTCCAAGCTTAACCATGTAACACTTTGGATGTTCTGTTTTCTAATCCTTTGGACTTTTCTGCTCTATGCAGGCGTTCCAGATTCTGAAAAAGAGAAAACTGCTGAGGGTTCTATTAACAGAGGTAATGAAAAATCACATCTCAATGTTTATTTTCTACCTTGGTACATTTATTGCAAAGCTTAATGATTGAAAGGAATGCTCATACTCTTTTTAGATGCTGTTCTTGCACGAGTTTCAACTGAGAAGAGGTTATCCCTAATCAAAGCATGGGAAGACAGTGAGAAGTCAAAAGCAGAGAACAAGTAAGAGCTTTCTTGAATATATGCTATTTTTTCAAGAATATCTAAAACTTTATATTGCCAAAGGAAGAGTATGCCATAATCATGATGAAGACTTAAAAACAATTTTCTTTATTATGTCCAGCAAATAATCTTTGAAGGGAAAATAAAAAAATAAAAAATTTTCTTTATTATGTCCAGCAAATAATCTTTGAAGGGAAAATAAAAAAATAAAAATAAAAACTGGTGTTTTGGAAAAGAGAAAAAGACTGAACCTAGGAGCATGGCATGCTATAGAGGCAGCTCAACCTTCTCATAGGCCTAAGGCAAAAAATCTAAACAAGACAAGATTTTTACGTTTTTACATTATAATTTTTTATTTAAAACTATTATTATTATTATTATTATTATTTATTTTTGAGATACAATATACTAATTAAGTTTTTGTATTCAACTTTTCTAACATATCTTCAGGTAAGATATTATCAATTTTAATTTTGAAAAACATTTTTTTTTTCTACAAGTACTATATCATAATATCACCAATGTGAACAATATATCCATTTAAAGAAATAATCTAATCGTTTTATATAATTCAATAATCATTTGAAATCTTTTTAATACATTTATAATTCTACTGGTTAAGCCAACTAGTAATAGTTATACACACAAGCATATGAAGCACTCACAAGTCTTCATGGGCCTTATCACCACTTGGCATGGGGCTCACTCAATGCTTGTGAGTGTGTTCGTGTACTGTTGTGTATAATCGTTGGTGTCCTAACATTTTTTCTACAAAAACGATTGTCGTCCACTTAATTTAAGTATACGATTTGGTAAAATATGGAGCCTCTTTCAATAAGGGGCCTTGGCAATGGGCTTATTCGCCTAATGGTTAAGCCTCTACTTCATCAACACTTTTTAGTTTGTACATTGATATTGGCGTCCTAGTGTAAAACTTGAGATTTAGGTATTTTCTTGACAAGAACAACCTATTGTATCCCAAGCAGTTATCGCCAAGTGGCAAGTTGAGCCGCAATAAGTGCCTCAAGAAATGTAAGTCACGAGTTCGAATCTCATGAAGTGTTCATGGGAGCCACCACCTCAATAATTACCCAATATGTGTTGGGATTGTGTATACCTGGGGGACCCAGATATGCTCATGACCATTATATATGCATGCAAGAATTTAAAAGAAAAGAAAAAAGAACCTAATTGTATATGGTGTATTGAAACCTCCACAATGTTTGCTACCAATTTCTACTATTGACATCATTTGCAAATCTGATACATGACAACAATTTGAGGAACTGTTATATGCTTGTGTGTTAAAATCCAAACTCTTAGAGATGCTTGCACTCTTGGATGGACAGGTTTTGATATTTGAAAGTCTTATTTTTCTTCAAATCAAAATAAGACTTGTTTCTAGTAATCTATGTGGACAATGCATACCAAACCTTACAATTTGAAATTATTGAACAGAGCTCATAAAAAGCTATCTTCCATCGGAGCATGGGAGAACAGCAAGAAAGCTGCCATAGAAGCTGAGTTGAAACAGATTGAGGTAAGAAGTCACTATTCACATTGTTGAAAAATATTACCAATAGCCCCTTCAGTTGGTGATTTCTGTTTGCACTCAAATGTGAATTTGGTCCTTGACTTAGCAAAGGCTTTTTTATTTTTTATTTTAACTCGGCTGATATTTGTGACATATCATGTGAGTAGGAGAAATTGGAGAAACAGAAGGCCCAATATGTGGAGAAAATGAAAAACAAGATTGCACTCTACCACAAGGCAGCAGAAGAAAAGAGGGCAATGATTGAAGCCAAACGCGGCGAAGATCTTCTCAAGGCAGAGGAAACGGCAGCGAAGTATCGTGCCACTGGAAGTGCACCAAAGAAACTACTTGGAATATTTTGAAGTATCAAACCTGGTTAAAAAACAATGAATTTCTATTTGTAAAGTTTCTTCTTTGGGCTTGTTTTTGTATTTTGGGCTGTTTTACGTGCTTATTTGCTGGTCAATTTCTTACTGTTCATTATTGTGTGTATAGTGATGTATTTCTATGTATATGTACAAAACAGATTTCTTTGGAATGAAGATTATTATTCAGTTTAGCCTATGGATGCAATTTCTGATGAGAAATGGTATACAAATTTGTATTTTGTATGTGTTCTTCCTCACCTGCAGCACATTACAGGCAAACTAGTGTGTCGTTTGTTTCTAACAGAAAATATTTTCTGCAAAAAAACGTTTTCATAAATTTTTATTGGGACCTTGAAATTAGTGTGCTAGGGGTTACGGTAGTGCTTGTGGCATTGATAAGATTTTACTCTGAAAAACAATTTTGACATTATAGAGGTGAAAATTTTCTGTTCAAATAAGCTTATTTTTGTGTACTTTTGTTTTTTCTATTGAATCAAATGTCAGAAAATATATTCTACAAAAACAAATGGAGCGTAAAGAAGGGATTTACACTTCTATATGCATATCAGATGAACTTTTTGGATAAAAGAAAACAAACCACATATATATATATATATATATGTATAGATAGGATCATTGAACTGAGCCAGGTCAACTTAGCACCAAAACTGGGTATTTTTTCATCAACAAATCCAACTTAAAGATATCTTCTTGGCTACAGTCGAAATTTGGGCAACTATTAGATGAAATTCAAGAAAACCAACTAGATTGAAAATAAAGATTTATAACAGAGTAAACACACTAGGTTTGAAAAGTTCCATCAATATCACCTCCAGGTAAGCATTCAATGTCGAAAGAAAATGGAGACATCATCGGGCTGTCCTTGTAGGAATCCCATATCATCGTCGCCGCTAGGAAAATCTAGCAGCAAATTCATTGCTGAATTCGAAGAATCATCCAATTCATATGAATTCGAGCACTCTGAACCACCCATCATATCATTTGCACAGATACATTTTTGTTCTATTGGAGAACTAGTCCTCGAAGGCCCTGCCTGCATCGTGACACCCGAACCAGACCCCACTTTTGTTGATGAGGACGTTTGGGATATTGGGCTTTGACTTTCCCTCCTTCCATTTAGGCTTCGAAATGATTCTCCAACTTCAGAATTCCATAGCCTGAGGAAGTAATCAGAGTCAGTTTTCACAGTTTGTGATGGGCTGAGAAGTGAGTTCATTGAGAGCCGTGCTTCAGCCTCAACCCGGGCGCTCTCCCATTGTGCCATATGGCGAGTTGATAGGGGCTCGGGTTTCGTGTTGATTGAAATAGAAGCAGAGGGTGGCTTGGAGGCCTGCAGGTTGAGGCCGCTGATGCAGAAGAAGCGCTTCTTGAGATTGGAGTTCCAGAAGTTTTTAACCTCATTGTCTGTTCTTCCCGGTAGATGGGAAGCAATGGCAGCCCACCTGAAAATTTCCGCGGTCAGTCAGCAAGAAAACAAAAATTGCCCAAGGTTTGCCAAAAATCCATGAGCCAATAAAGGACACAAACATAATTTTCACCCATGACAGCAAATTTGTAATTTTTCACTTATGATTTATCTATCTTAAAGTACAAATTCTTAAACATTCAAAACAAAAAAATGACACCACAATTCTAATAGGAAGTGATTTGAACAAGTCGTTAGCAACATCCTTAAACTCAACTGTTTAAGTGATCAAAAATTGATAGATGAAAATTGAGAAAAATAGATTACTTGTTACCGAGCATGCCGTGGAGCTGGATGATTCTGTTCTCTTCTTCAGGAGTGAATGGACCCCTTATAATGTCAGGGCGAAGATAGTTGGTCCACCGAAGGCGACAGCTCTTTCCGCAGCGAAGGAGACCTAATTAACAATCACACTTTCATGCTTTAAATTTATGGACTTTAAATTCAAAATTTCTTGTTGAAATTGAATCCTACATTATCAAAACAACCCCAATACCAATAAAAGTCCCAAACAGAGATGAAGCAGGGATGCTGGGATGAAGCAAAACTGCATCATTTTGGGTGTGTTTAGTTTTAAAAAATATGTAAGTCTCGTTTGACAATTTATTATTTTAGCCTAAAAGTCAAAAAATCATTAAAAAAAAATTAAAAACCAACAGCTTATATTAAAAAATCAAAGATTCTCTTTTCTCTTTATTTTTTGCACATTTTTTCATAAAAAACTAAAAAGATATTCTAAACATACTAATTTTTTTACCTCATATTTTAACAAAAAAATTAAAAAATAATTAAAATAACATGATCTCAAATGAAGACTAGTACCATTGTGCGAAATTTCAAATATAGACCATTGGATTATATCATTTGCAAATGTGTCAATGATGTGATAAAATCATGAAAAAAAATCATGATGGAGGACCCTTGCCCAAGGGTTACTCGAGTGGCAAATTAAGTGGCGATAAGCATTATTTTAGAAATGTAGATCACCAATTTGAATATCATGAAGCAATTGACCCATTGGGTGACTCCTATGATAAATAATTTAATGTAACAGATATATCACGTAACTGAAATGACACCCTTTCATTCTTTCTATTCATTAATTGTCATGTGTTAAAAGTAGAACTGAATATTGATATAACCAAATACTCAGCACTTCTACCAAGTATAAAGTGACTTATCGAGTTTCATTTTATCACATGACAATCAATTAGGGGAAGAGATATACCACGTCATCTCAATCACGTGGTTACAATAAATAATTTCGCCCTAAACTTATAACCAGTAATTATCAGGTATGAGTGGAAGGGAGACTATTTGGTATAAAATTTTACATTTAAATATCATCCGTAACGAGATTGTTACGTAACGAGATTTTAACCTTATGATACCATTAGTCACTGAGATTTTAACCTCATGATACCATTAGTCACTGATATCACTACTAGTGATACATGTCTCAATTTAATCTGAGTCAGTGAAGCTCAAGTTGGGTTAGTTTGACTCATCTTGAACCCTACCAGAATACCCAGAAATTTAATTTAGTTTAATGAAGGATTTGCAGCAGCAGTTGCATCAATCAAAAGAAGTCATGTCCAACAATACTTGATGATGATGAAGAAAAAGATGATGATGATGAGAGAGAGAGAGAGAGAGAGAGAGAGAGAGATGAAGCAGACCAGCGAGTTTAGGAAGAGAGCGCCAGGTAGGATGGCCATGGGTGGTAATGTAGTCAACAAGGACCTTGTCTTCCTCAGGAGTCCATGCTCCTCTTTTCACTGCTTCTTTGTCACAGCATGGCGCTCTTCCCATCTCCTCTTCCCTCCTCTTTCTCTTCCTCAGCTTTCAACTTTCAATTCAACAACCCAGCGCGCACACACACACACACCACCTAGTACTGAATACAAACCCTACAATCTCAAATGAAATTTGAGAGAGAGAGAGAGAGAGAGAGAGGTTAGTGGGAGAATCTCCTCAAGGAAATAATAAATGCAAGGATACTCATCTATACAACATTTAATAAAAAAGGCAAATGTCGCAGACATCCGGACAACTTAGACTTGGGCTTTTCTGCACTCTTTCTTAGCATTCAATTGCTTCTTGTCCAAGCACACATCATAGACTTGCAGTCCAAAAAAAAGTTTGCTATAGTCTCCGAGTACTGTTCAGGTTACTTTGAATGGTTGGCGGTATACTCTTCACATAATTATTCAGTTTAACTCTTGGGTCAGATCATAAAAAATAAAATAAAATAAAATAAAATTTGTGAATTTTCTATTGACTTCCCTTTAACCGGACTGAGGAGAAAATTAGTAGAGCTGTGCATAAGTTGATCCAGATACCCTACTGTTAAACAAAAGCAGAAGACAAAAAAAAGAAAAAGGTCTCCCAGTGAAATTATTGTGGCTCCATAAATGAAGAATCACAAAACATGGGCTCGTTTGGAGTGTAGTGGATCAAGTTAAAAATTAATAATTATAAAATAAAAATAAAATTTTAATTTTTTAAAGATTTTTTTTTTGTTTTTAGTAATTTTTTAAATTTAAATGATTTTTTTTCACTTTTCAGATGATTTGATCTATATTTTCTCAAAACAAAGAAATAATCACTAAAATATGAAAAAGGTTTGTTAAAAACAATCTGAATAAAAATTTGTATGTGTTTTTACATGGATTTTCCTTTGTCTTTGGTGATTTTTTAAATTTTTTTTATATATCTAAATCAATTTTTTTATATTTTTTAGAAACATCTACATTAAGGTCAAGTTTGGGAAGACTAAATAAGTGCACTTTTTGTCTTTTTGGACTAAAAAATTGAGGTTGAAAATATGGATGTTTGGGTTAACTTTTTGACTTTTTATTGAAAAATGTGTAATAAAAAAGTGTAAAAATTGATTTGTAGGAAAAAATTTGAATTGAGAGTTGTGCAGCCGTAATTGTTGACTTTTGATGAATAGTGTTAACTTTTTAACTTTTTAAGTAACTTTTTGACTTTTTAATTTTTTTACAAGTTCCCAAACTTGACCTTAATTTGTGGTGACAAAAGGCATTAACTTGAGTGCAACTGGCACAAATCATATTAACCAAATTTTAACCCCCAAAAAAAAAAAAAATTTAAATAAATCTCATTTGGTTTCTACCTTTATATATAGGAAAGTGCAAATGACAATTGTTGAGGATATCAATAACATCTGTTGATGATAACTGGTAAAGTTATCAATAACATGGATATGTGGCAGTATTTTTTTAAAAAAAGTTAAATAAAGAGATGGACAAGGTTTAAGAGATGGGTAATGGGTTTAAGTACGAGGACTCATACCACTTAAGCTAAGTACACATTATAATATTAATTTCATTATTATTTTTTTTATTACTACTTATTTAAATTGTACACACATCGTGTGTGCCACCCACTAGTGTATATATATATAAACAGTTCCGATAAAGTGCACTAAACAGTACCTAAGTTGGTCATCATTTATCAACAAAACAAACTATTAATAATTTCACAAAAAAAGTTGAATTTCTCTCAAATTCAAACATGTACTTGAGGGTCGTGCTCAAGCTCATGGTCCTCACCGCATCTTTCGATAATTTGAATCGTTTATTTTTTAAGATTTTTTTGTTTATATTATTCATAAAAAAAAAATTAGATCGATTTAATAATTATAACTTTTTCATGTTATCAAATTTTTTTCTAAAAATCAAATGATCTATTTTTTAAAACATATTTATTGTCTATTTTTATAGAGATAAATATGATAAAATAAAAAAATTATGATTATTATATTAACCAAAATCATACACCAAAGATCAAATAAAATAAACCATTCAAATAATTAAAAGGAACCGTAACGGGCCGATGAGCCCGACCATATAGTCAAGGTCATACAACATTGATTCCCATAAATAATATCACATAATAGTCATGAACAACAATATTATGATAATCTCATTATTTATCATCAAATGTTAAACATCTTATTGAAAAAAAAAAACTCCAGGTTTAATCAAGATGTGTGTAAGTTGATCGGAATACTTGGTTATTTAAAATAAAAAAATAAAAAAAAACCTAGTGAGTAAATACCCAAAATGCAAAGAAAAGAAAATTTTATTGGAATAAATACATACCGTCTACAAAACTTCACACAAATGTTCAATAAATTAATAAATTTTATAAAATTTTCATATTTCTTTGCTTTAAATTTATCATATCTCATATTGATCTCAATTTTAAATATTAACATTTATTACAACGCATGACAAACAATAAATTTAAAAAAATTATAAATTATATAGTAGCATACATTTATTATTAGCCCAGGTGGGCATATGTATTTCTATACACACAACACAACTCACATATAGATGAGAGAGAGAGACAGAGGTATATGAGGCTGGATTCATACCTAAAACTTATGTTTGAAAAACATTTTGGAGAGAGAGCGAGAGAGTTGCAGAGCTCAAGAATGGCCTAGAGAGAGACAGAGAAGCTTGGTTTTGAAAGTGGGAGTGAGGGTTCATTTGACAAACAATTTATAGTAAAAGGGAAGACATTGGGTTGGAGAAGTGAAAGTTTGGGTTCATTTTGTTTTTGTTTTTCTGTTTCGATGCTTTCTGACTAAGGTTTGGCTTCTTCTTCAGTTTCACCTCTGGGTTTTCTTTTTTTTCTTCTTGTTTTGCGCCTCTGCCTCAAAACAGGACAAAAAGAGTGTGAGTTACAAAATACAAATAATTAAAAGAAAATACAACAAGTGTGTGATTTGCTTTGCTGCAACTTCTTTTCTTTATTTATTTTGTTTATTTTTATAAGTCAAAAGTATTTTACTTTTAATTTTTCAAGAATTAATTTTTAAAAATTATTTAAAAAATAATCAAAATTATACCAACATTATATATTAAGGGATTTCTTATCCGATTTTCATAGTTACAAACACAAAAGTAATGAGATTCATATCAACAAAAACTTGTAGAATTCATTGCTTGAAAAATATAATGCTATAAAAACAGAATTTCTTGTTGGAAAATAGCTTTTTATAGCCTTATTTTTTGTTAACTTTGACTATTAATTAAGGTGGGACCCAAGTGTTATTTTTAACATTTTTAATTGGATTTATGTTTAATGTCGCGTAGTGAATAAATTTATGTATTTGGTTGTTCAAAACCATTTCCGAATGAATGAGAGTTCAACGTGCATTTCCGGGTTCGTGAAAATGTATTTTGATGGGTTTATTACAAATTTGTGAAATGTGCTTGTCCCACATTGGAAAGACTTAAGGAATTATTTGGGTTTATAAACTTTAGCATTGGATAATTAAGATGGGTCCTAAGGGGTACCCAAGTTTGTGAAAGAGTGAGGTTATGGGCATAGTGAGCTAGACCCATTGGACCCAAAATTAAAACCACACGCGCACACCGCCGCCTCCGGTCAATCGGGCGCATTGGGCATGGGTGCGTGGTGTGAAGTTGGGTTGAGCTTGTTCAGCCCAATATTTATCTTTTTGGGCCAAAAACATTTGAACTTTATTTATTAATTTTTATTTTTGGTTTCAAAAATCAAAATAAATTGGTCCAAATTTTTTCCCTTCACCCAAACAGTTTCTAATACACCCGAACGGGTTTGAACTTTTTAAACCTTTCCCGGATAGATTTGGAACTGTCCAAACAGTTCAAACAGATTTTCTATTTGTTGAAATCTATCCGAATAGGTGTCAACAGTTGCTTATCTGTTGGCACCTGTTCGAACAGCCACCAACTTGCCTATATAAAGTCTGCTCCAGCAATTCATTTTGTATCCGAAAATTTTTAGACTTCTTCCCTTTCTTCTTTTGTTCGTCCTCTGTTGCTCTTTCATCTATTTTTGCATTATTTTTAGGAAAAGAGAAAGAAAGAGTTACAACATTATTTGGTTCACCAGACTTGATTTTATAGTGCTGTAAAATTAAGTGTTAGTCGTTGCATCCTGGAAAGTAGACACCGGTTATATCTCAAAGCACCGGAGCGAGGACAAAATCTACTTTAAGGAGATTGTGTCCAACATAAGCCTCGACATTAATTTCTGTAAGCATTTAATTCAGAAAATAATTTATATAATTAATTTCTGAATTATTTTATTTTATTGTTTATTTAATTTATACATTTAATTTACGCGCATACACTTTTGCAGGTTCCTAACATTTCTATATAAAAAAATATATATAGCATAATGTGTATTATTTATGTTCATTCATATAGGATCCGCCTTAGCTTTGAGGGGGTCAATTTGAAATCAAAATTTAAGGCATTCATACATATATATATTATTTTTTTATTAAAAAAGTTTGGTGGTAAAATATTTTTTATTTGTAACTATACAAATTTCCGTACATATACATAAACATTAAAATTATTAGTTGTTTGTCTGCAAAAACGACTTAAAATATTAGGTGATAAATCATATTTGAAAATATTGTATTAGTGAGCAAATCAATTATAATTTGCTTTTCACAATAACTATAATATTATATTTTTTGAACAATTTTATATGATTTTTATAGTTAACGTAAATTATAATTATTGAGATAAATTTTTAATATCTTCAATGGTTTACATTATTGATTTAAAATAAAAAAGAAAATTGATATAACTAATTGAATGTAAAAATATTATCCACTTCAACATAAAGGCCATTATAATTGGTGCAATCAATAATATTTTATAAACAATCCAAACATTATATAAATAATCTATATATTTGACAAACAACCATTTATTATTTCAATTATTTTTTAAAAGTCTTCATTAAAACTCATTTTTTAAAAGTCTTCATTAAAAATAAAAGTATTCCCATATGTACTTCCGAACATTTTTGCTTACATCTTTGCATTTTTTGTCCAGACCCTTTTATGTACATAGATTTTTTATATTTCTTAAAAAGCCTTCTATTAGAAGTCAAATTGTCCATCAATTTGGCTCAAAATTATATGAATGTTGTTGTCCCATCATTTTTCTCTTTAATTTTCTTCTGTAGTTATATACATCTTATAATTATAAAAGAAAATGACATAATTTTATATTTTTAAGTCTAAAGTAAAAAAAATAAAAAGTTAAAAAAGAACAAAAGTCATAATTGAAAATCTCAAAATAAATCATAAAAGAAAATTAGTCATAATTAAAAAATAAAATGACATAATTAAAAGTGCATATGATATGGAGGTGTATATATATAAAATTTTTCACAAAAATTATTCAATAGAATAAATAAGAAATCAATTTACTTG